GCCCTGAGCACCCGCCCCTCCCACAGCCCACGGGGCCAAGCCCTGGCCCGGCAGCAGCTGCGCGGGTCCTGCCCCGGGTCGTGGCCAGGCAGAGCAGCTTGGTCCCTCAATCTCAGTATTAGCCCGTTTACACCCCTTTCCCTGACTTCCCGCTCCGTCAAAGTGAGCCACCCCGCCCGTCTGCTCAGACACCCTCCCGGCTCCCTGCCGATGCTCTAGGAGAGACCTGGGTAGCCCAGCCTTGCCGGGGCCGGGCCGGGGAAGGCGTGAGTCAGCGCTGGGCGGGCCCAGGCCACAGTGCTTCCTCTGTGAGGCAGAGCCCCAGCCCCCAGCGGGGAGCTGACTCAGCTCCATAGAGGCCTCGGGATTGGCTGGGGCAGCCGGCTTTCCCAGAACAGCAGTCTGTCCCCCTCCCAAGGGGGTGATAAGCCCTCTCCTTAGCCAAACAGAGGGCTTCTAGAACTTGTGAGGCCTGGCGTGCTGAGGGCGGGGCAGAGGGGTTCAACCCTGAGGTTAGGGGCAGGGCAAGCCTAGCCTGTAGTGCCACTCCCAGTCCAGGGCTTTGCCCGGCTGGCCTCCCTCTGAACCCAGTCCGCATTCGGGGTGCAGTTCTCGCCCCATGGAGTGAGGGTGGGTCCACTCTGCCACCTTCCTTCTGCCGTGGCCGGGCCCCTCCATCACAGCCCTGACCTGCCGGAGCCCTGCCTGCCCGGTGGACGGGGGCTGCGGGCCCACCTCCATCCTTGCCCTGCAGGAGTCTCTCTTCCCGGCCCGAGTGGTCTACGACCTCCTGTTCTTCTTCATCGTCATCATCATTGTGCTGAACCTCATCTTCGGGGTGATCATCGACACCTTTGCTGACCTGCGCAGCGAGAAGCAGAAGAAGGAGGAGATCCTCAAGACCACGTGCTTCATCTGCGGTGAGGCCTGCTTCCCGCCCGCACAGGCCCCGGGGACCGGGCGGCCCTGGCTGGGGCATGATCTGGGCCAGGGGCAGCCTCAGTTTGGCCCTTCCCTGGGTTCCTGAGGCCCCTGGGGAACCCTGCCCTGGGGCTGATGGCTGGTTGGCTGTTTGCTCATCTCAGAATTGGGGACCACAGGCCCTGCCTGAACTTGGAGTAACAGAGGGAGCGGGAAAGGGCCTCAAAGCACTCCTTTAAACTCGCTCAACTTACAGAGGCCCCCAAGCCCAGGCAGCAGCCTCGAGCCTCTGGTCTCAGTCCAGGGCTTTCCCATCCCTGGTATGAAGTGCCGGTCCCTTCTGCAGCCGCCGCAGGCTGAGGAACAGGTGTCGCCTGTAGGCAGCCCTGCTTCTCCGGTGTCCTCAGGTGCCTGGTGAGGGCTGCCGCTGGGGCAGGGCGGATGTCCACGCCACATGGCTGCTGCTTAGTATAGGTGACCCGAGTGTCCCCGAGTGGGCAGTGCCTGCACTCACCAGACCGGGCCTGAGAACAGAGGTGGTGTGCGCGGCCCGGGTGGCCCACAGGCTCCTGGAGGCGGGTGGTTTCACCCTCGCCCTCTGCACCCTCAGGTCTGGAGAGGGACAAGTTTGATAACAAGACGGTGTCGTTTGAGGAGCACATCAAGTTCGAGCACAACATGTGGAACTACCTGTACTTCATCGTGCTGGTCCGCGTGAAAAACAAGACGGACTACACAGGGCCCGAGAGCTACGTGGCCCAGATGATCAAGGTGTGGTCCTGGGAGGTGGCCGTGGCCGCCTGCACTGACTGTGGAGGCCTGGGGGAGGGGCGGGACAGTCGTGGACACTTGGTGAAAGGCCAGCAGGGAGCGAGGAGGCTGGAGCCAGCCCTGGGGCTCTGCTGTCGAGAGAGAGAGAGAGAGAGAGAGAGAGAGAGAGAGAGAGAGAAAGAAAGAGCAAACCCATCAGCCCCAGCGGCCGGTGTGATGTCCCGGGGCCGTGGCTGCTGCTCTGGACGTTGGGAGGGAATGTACTGTCGCCTTTGGGGTCAAGGAGAACAGTTCCAACGAGGGTGCATCTTCTGTGGCCGCACAGTAGAGACCTCGCAGGCTGGAAGCAAAGACCCATTCAGTGGGGAAGAGTCCTGTTTGCTTGTGAATCTGCAATGTGAGCTGGTTGGAGTGCAGGTCTGTCAGCTGGTCTGAGGCTCACAGCTTGCTCCACGGAACCAGAAAGCAGCTCAGTCCCTCCCTCCTGTCGTGGGAAACGTGGCTGGGCCCCAGACACGGCAGATGCAGGCCTCCTGCTCCTGCTCCATCCGTCCCACTCGCATCTTCCTGGAGCGTGCGTGCCGGGGGGAGGGGAGAAGAGAAGGAAGGAAGGAGATTCGGGGTTTGGTGCGGAGGCCTCCCCTCCACCTCGGAGGGGCTGAGTGAACAGATGGTGCCGATAGCGGGAAAGGCCGAGCGGCTAATGGAAGCCAGCCTGTCCAGTGCTGGGCCCTGACCGCAGAGGGCTCGCTGCCAGCTCACTCTGGCCGGGGAGGACTGGGCATCGGCCTCCCCGACACATCCTGGGAGTGTGTCGCCAGGGCTGGCGGCACTGCTTGCTCACCCGCTGGCCATCTTTTTCAGAACAAGAACCTGGACTGGTTCCCCCGGATGAGGGCCATGTCCCTCGTGAGCAACGAAGGGGAGGGGGAGCAGAACGAGATCCGGATTCTTCAAGACAAGCTGAGCTCCACCATGAAGCTGGTGTCCCACCTCACCGCCCAGCTCAACGAGCTCAAGGAACAGGTGTGTGCCCAGCACTTCCCCCCCTCCCCCGCACCATCCTCAGCCTGCACTGGGCAGCCTCAGGCCACCCTGAGCTCACAGCCCAGCCTGTCCTGCGGGGGAGGGAGTAGGTGTTGGGGCCTGCATGTCCCCCATGTCCCCCCTTTCTTCCTGGCTCCCATCCTTGGGTCTGGGGCAGAAGACGGGTCCCAAACACTCTCCCCTCTGTGGAAAGCTAGACTGGGGGTCACAGTCCAGCCCCAGCCCCTGAGACACAGCACCCCCTCCATCGGGCAGCGGCAGAGGTGAGGCAGCCCTTTTTGGGTGGGGCAGCTTCCCAGCTGCACAAAGCAGGAGCTGTGACAAGTGAACTGAGACCAAGGGTCTGGGGCTACATCTCGCTGCCCCGAGGGCCTTGGCTGCTGCCAGTGCTGAGTGGCAGTGGGGCCCATGGCGGGAGGGCGGGCGCCAGCCCCTCGGCAGTGCCTGGGCAGAGGGTGCCGGGGGCCTGACCTGTTGGCATCGTTTAACCACAGATGACCGAGCAGCGGAAACGCAGGCAGCGCCTGGGCTTTGTGGACGTCCAGAACTGCATGAGCCGCTGAGCCCGCGAGACCCGCCAAAGCCTGCGCCGGGCACTGGTACCGAGCTGTGGCTGGGAACACTGCCCTTCTCTCGGTCGGGTGGCCCAGCCAGCCCACCAGCTCGAGGCCAGGTGCCCACCCAGCCTCCAGCTCCTGCTCTGCCAGACTCCCCCGAGCCAACCCGGGTGCTGGCCAGCACGGAGGGGGAGCCTCAGAGCTGCCAGCCCTACCTGGAGCCCTTAGGACTCAGAAACTCACTGGGACTCAGTTTACCTTATTGCCTTAAAGACGTCCTCTTAGAGGATTGCTTTGTCCCTTAAAGCAGTAACTGACATTCCTCTACTCCTCCTGGGGGGCGATTAGGAGTGGGGTCACCTCTTCATTCCAAGCACTACATTTTGGTTGCTGCCCGCCTCCGGGGGGGTGCCGTGATGCTGTTGCCGGGACACTAGGGCTGTTACTTAACTTATTCCCGGGTGCCCAGCCCCGCACGCCTCCTGTGCCTCAGGTCTGCCGCAGACAGTGCAGACTGTGTCCCGACCGCCCCTCGACGTGCCCCAGCCCCAGCCCCAGGGTCCTGCCGGCCGAGGGTGGAGGCCCTGCCTCTTCCTGGGCCTCTGGGGGCCACAGGCTGAGGGGGCAGGGCTGGGTGAGTGACAGTGGCTGGTTTTTGACCGCTTGTTTTTTCTCCTTTTGGTGTAATGTTTTACAAATCCTTTGGCCTGAGAACTAATATGTTAATTACCTAAATAAATTAATAGAAATATAGTTCATTAGAAAGGGCTGCCGTTTCCTCTGGCCGCTGGGGCTGTGGGGGCTGACGTGGCCCGCTGGCCCGTCTCACCTTGGCCCTGGGAGAGGCTGAGCCGCTGCCGGGGACTGCACACAGGGTCCCCAGACCAGCTGGAGCGGTACTGGTATCGCCGGTTTTGGTCATGCCCTGTGCCTGTCGTGTGCGTCCCAGCACTGGAGCCCACTTGGCTTCTTCCCCATGAGCGTTGTGGGTCCTGCCCGCCCTTCTCAGCTCAGGTCCGAAATGTGAAGGCCCCAGTAAGAGCTAAGGTTCCATGGAGCGGAAAGGTGGCCCGTGTGTCCTGGCCTCCCACAGAAGCCACCACAGCCCCAGGCCCTGGCCACGGCTGTCTGTAGCCCCACTCTGCCCCTTCAACCAACCGGACACAGGTTTCCTGCAAGGTCGGGGCGGAGAACCAGCTCCGTCCTTCTGAGGCCTGGGCACGGGGCGACCCCCTGCCTCCTTCCAGGTTGACTAGTTTTGGCTATTTCCCAGGCGCTCCCAGCCAGACCCCCGCCGACAGGGGCTCCTACGGCTGCACAGGAAGCCCTGGCCTGGAGGCCCGGCCCCTTCCCTTCCCAGGCCAGACAGGAGCCCCTGCCTCCTCTCCCCTGGAGACGGCCCACCCTGACCGCGGGCTGCTGCTGAGCACGCCTGCTCCGGCGCAACTTTCCCTGGACCGGTGCGGTGTCATCTGTGGGGCTGGCTGAGTCCCAAGCAGCGGCGCGGGGGTCAGGGAGCTTTATTTATGACGGCAATACACAGACTTCACTCAGGTCCGCGGGCGAGATAAGGACTGAGCCCAGGCCTTCTGCTTCTCCTCGGGACTCCTGGCGGAGAACTTCTCCTGCAGTTTCTTCCACAAGCCTTTATTCATGTCCTTCAGCTCCCCCAGGGTGTCTGCAAAGGGCAAGACAGAAAGGAGGCTGACGTCTAACATCTGAGGCCGGGTATTGGCCCCACAGGCCTTCTTTTCACACAGTCTGTCCCCGAAAAAGGGACGTGTAGACCCAACTTCTCAAAAGCAAGTCAGGTCACGGGAAAATAACCGCCAGCATGGACTGAGCACTCGTGTACCAGGGCCGGGCTCAGCACACTGCACCCTCCCACTCAGCACCAAGCCACGCCCTCGATGCCTGGGCTGCACGTGCGTGGGCAGATGGAGACAGTAAGGTGTGTGTGGCTCAGGCAAAGCTTGGCCTATGCCACACACCCGACTGTCTCCATTTTTCAGGGGTAGAAACAGGCAGAGGGAGGTTAAGCAAGTTGCTCAGGTCGCCCAGCCAGGAAGAGGTAGAGCGGGGATCTGAACCTGGGCGCGGTGAGGCCCCATGCTGAGCCGAACAGGCACCGGGGAGGGAGACGGACCTGCGCAGAATCCCTGCCCATCATTCCCCCGCTGGGTTCCCTCCAACAAACCCCTTTACCCTTTAGCCTCAGGCTCCTCATCTGCAAAGTAGGGAGAAAATACCTGCCTCAAAAGTTGTGAGGATGAAAGGCAATCATGGAGGCAGCTTGCCGGGCACCTGACCTGCACCCAAGGAGAGGGGCCACCTGCATGGCTGTGACGGCAGCAGGGGGCTGGTGGGAGGCCATGGGCCTTGTTTAAGCGTGAGCGCGCGCACACGCGCGCACGCACACACACACACACACACAGCCCCCAAGGAACCAACGCTGGGTTTCTCAGTCTTGGCACTATCGACATTTGGGTTGGGGCAGAATAATTCTTTGTTGGGGCACTGACCTGTGCATTGTAGGATGTGCATTGTAGCATCTTAGCTTCTACCCACTAGATGCCAGTAGCAACCCCCAGACTCCACCCCCACGCCCAGCTGTGACAACTAAAATATCTCCAGACACTGCCACATGTCCCCCTGGGACCAAAACTGCCCCGTCAAGAACCACTGGTTTAAAGTTTCTCCAGGGCTAAGAGTCTATACCTAATCTTACCTATATATTAAATTTAGATTTCCCCATAATATTGTCTAAATTTCACAGCCTGGATTTTTAACTGTTAATAAAACTTGTAGAGAAAAGGAATGGCTTTTTGGAACAAAAGGTAACACATTACTTACTAACACTGACTGTTCGTGGTCTCTTGACAATTAGGACACATGGCCCCTCAGCCCAGAAGTCCAGGTCCCTTTGTGGGGCACAAAGCTGGATGCTGAGGGCTGAACCCCTGCCCACTACAAGCCATGAGGCTCTTCAGTCTCCCATGATCCCAAGCCCAAGGTGGACACACTTGGGATCCAGGCCACGGCCAGTGGTCCGGCCTCAAACCCTCTCACTACAGACACTGCAAGGTGTTTTCTTGGCCCCTCGGAGGAGACATCTGGAACGCTGACCGACAGTCACAACAAGGCTCTGAGGACTGCTGTGAAGGGAAGTGGGCAGCAGGCTTCCGGGAGGCCGATGGAGGGGAGCCTGCACCTCTGCACTGCGGCCTGAGGTCAACGAAGGGCAGAGGCTGAGAGCTTATTTCCTCTCTAGTTTCAAGTTCAAACTTGGCTGAAACTCTCCAAGTCCTCACAGTGACCTTGGGCATCAATGCGGGAATTTCAAGATCCTGCCTGGAAAAAAATCTACCCAGTTTCCCAGGGCACTGTAATGAAAACAGGACAGCGTTGATACAACAGCAGGTGACACCACCAGGTGTGAGTCTGCTCAGAAGGTACGTTTTCTGGAATGCCAGAGGAGCAGGAAAGAGAAATGTCTGGAGCACCACCGCAGGTGAATGTTTCAGGGCCAGGCCCTCAGAAAAGGGTAGCCTATTTTTGTATATGATATCCTTGCAAATAAAAATAGTAATTTTCCAGAACCTGCCTACTTCAACCCAGGGTTCCCCGTCAGTGACAATGGAGGTGCGGAAGTGCGGAGGGCTGGGCTGGCCTGGGTATTTCCTTTCTTGCTAATCACAGTCTATCAACGACTCCAAAACATGCCCAGTTAACCCCACAGACCAGGTCCCCTGGGCCAGATAAGGCGTAGTGGATAGCTCCATCCATGTGTATTGAATGGCTTTTTGTTTTAATCAGAGCCCTCACTGTTTATACAGCCCTCTTAGGACCATACAAATAAAATTATTTTCCTTCCATCCTGATTTCAACTACTTCCTTTTGGCGACTACGCATTCCCGTCCCTGCTGTTCAGCCTTGACTTTAAAAGCTCTAAGGATGGATTTTCTCTTTAAAACAATGCTGCTGACCTTCTCCATAGTCTATGGCCAAAGTGTAAGGGCTGTCGCTTCAGAAGCTCCTCGGGTGTCCCACAGGCAGAGGGTCTTACTAGAACCACCTGCAAGCAAGCCCGAGGCCGCTGCGCCCGTACCTGTGGCGAGGATCAGCTTGTACTCTTCCAGGGTCAGGCCACTGAAGCTCGTGTCCCGCGGGCGAGGGTACTGCTCGCAGGGCAGAGGGGAGAAGGGGAGAGGGTTAGTTCAGCAGCACAACCTGGGACCTGCCATCCTGGGAGAAGCCTGGGCCACTGGAGCGTCTAGAGACCAGAGGCCCGGCAGGCGGAAGAGCAGCGCCACCTGGAGTCCCAGATGCGGCCTCGCAAGTACGGGCATCATCTGCGGCCGGCCGAAGGGCGGCTCCCGCTTGAACACGCACAGGAACCTCTGGACAAGTGCAGGCTGTCACTCAGGACCGGGCTGGGCCCATGAGTCTCTAACCAGCTCCCAGGGGATTCCCCTGCTGCTGCTCTTGAGCCACACACTGAGCTGCGAGGACTTAGCAGAAACCCTCTTCCACGCAGGCGAGGCACTGGCCATGCACAGGGTGGGGCCAGGTAGGTTTGGCTGTTCACATGGAAGATAACACAATAATTGATAAGTAATAACACAAGAGTAATCTCTGTGTTTCTCGTACTCACACTCTAAACCTACGTGGCCCCACCCTGCGTATGTGGGGAATTACTGAGCAGTTTCAAGCCTGAAAACCACACTCAGTGGGATCTGACAGAAATCATGAAAGGCCGAGGGTGGCAGTGTGACAGGGCGCCCAATCACCCACCTGTCAGCAGGTGGTGGGGGGGGGGCGCACTTTCACCAGAGCACACGGAGAATCTCAGATCTAAGCCACCAGACACGCCCAGAAGCCCACACTGGCATATACATTACACGGCTTTTATTCAAGATTATAAATAGCTTTTACTTAAGTGACCTGAAAGCCTCCATGAGGTGCCTTTGTTGGCTTGCTTGAAATTACTGGTTACATTTGAAAGTAGCAAAGCCGACATTCTTTACAAAACACTGTGTAATCAGATTTTCACTTGTTCTTATAGGTCAGAGGGCGGGGGACATGAAAGACGGTGCCCACTCACCTTGTGTTTGTAATAGTTTGAATGGAGTCGTGCTAAGCTCTCGTACATCTCATCGCAGGCCTCAGGCTCTGCCACCTGAAACACAAAGAACCCCAAGGCAGTGAGCCAGCAGGCCCTGCCTGCCAGCCAGTCCCTCCGCAGGACCCTCCCGGAGGCAGTCCCGAGGATGGCCAGCAGCTCACCTGCCCAACTCCCCTCACTCCTCTCTATTAGAAATCACCTTCATGGGGTAATGGCTCCACCTCATCCACTCCCCAACCAGAGAAAAACTTCCACCAGCTGGCAAAGAAACATTCAAGCATCTGTGCCCTGTGAACCACCACCCCAGCTGCAGTGGGAGACGCCACATCCTATGTAATAAAAGCATAATATGCAAATCGACTGAATGGTGAACAGTGGAACAAGGACCACACTATGACACCCACTGGTGCCAGGCCAGCCAAGGCAGGTGTGATGTGATTGGTCGGGGGCCTGGCCATCGCCTCATGATCGCCGCGCAGAGGCCCAGGCCACCGACCAGCGGGCTGAGGCGGGTGGTGGCCATCGCCTCATGATCACCGTGCAGAGGGAGGCCCAGGCCACCGACCAGCGGGCTGAGGCGGGTGGGCGAGGCCTCCCTCTGTGAGGGAAGCCCAGGTCCTGGTGGAGGGAAGCTGGTGCCGGCAGCCGAGGGAATTTTGTGCATCGGACCTCTAGTAAACATATAACACAGGAAGGGCACACCACATAAGGGGGTGCTAGGGCAGTGTGGGCTCCAGGAAGCCGGAGGAGGGTGTGTCCCCAGGTGTGGGCGGTCAGTGTATGGCAGAGTGCAACTAAGCTGGGCTCTGAAGGATACATGGGAGGGAGCCTTGCTGGTGGAGGGGTGGGTGAGCCGGGCAGAGGAGGCAGGAATGCTGTCTGCGTTAGCCCGCCCTCTGGCGGAGGGTCTGAGCGTGCAGGTAAAGAACCTGGGCGGAGGAAAAGAAAGAGCTCTTTGAGTTAAACCTTCAGTGTGAAATGTATCATAAAGATTCTCTTATGAAACGCAAAGAGACTCATCTGGCCCTTCAACTGTGCAGAGGGGGAGCTGTTGAAATCGGCAAGGGAAGAACATGCAGAAACAAGTGTGCTGAGCCGAGGTGGCTGCGCTGAGGGAAACTAAGAGGGAGTGAGGTTGGGTCCTGCTGGGAAGGGCGAGGCCCCGGACACGGAGGCCCTGAGAGCAGAAAGGGGAAAGTAGGGAGATATTCTGGCCCTGGCTGGTTTGGCTCAGTGGACAGAGCGTCGGCCTGGGGACGGAAGGGTCCCGGGTTCGATTCCAGTCAAGGGCACATGCCCGGGGTTCTGTGCAGGAGGTGGCTGGGGGTGTGCAGGAGGCAGCCAATCAACGATTCTCTCTCATCATTGATGTTTCTATCTCTCCCTCTCCTTCTCTGAAATCAATAAAAATATATCAAAAACAAAAACAAAGAAATATTCTGGGTGCCCAAGACAGCGCTGCCCTTGCTGGAAACCAGGGAAGACAGATGAGAGCGGTGATTCAGCCTTGACACCTCTTCAGCTCCCCTCCCCTGCCCTTGCTATTATTATCTATAGTTCCGTACGTTATTCAGCCAAGACTTCTGAAAGCTCCCCAGAACAAAACTTCCTCTGTTATGTTTTTTGCCAGGAGTCAAATGCTGGATTTTTCCAACTTAAATCCTTTCTCGAAGAAGGCAGAGCACAAATCAATCAGTAGTTAAGTGTCTTAATAAGGCCGCTCGCTTCTGCCTCTGTGCGTGTCAAATGAGGTCCCCACTTTAGGGCCAACAAAAAGATGATCATCCATCGAGTTCCACCTGATCCGTGCCGGGGTTCAGCCACTCATCTCGAGAAGGGCCAGGGAGCACATCAGAAGAGGAAGGATTATGGGCTGAGGAGGTAGTGTCTGTTGGGTAATAATCAAAGGCATTATCTGAGTGGACTGGGGCTAAGGATTGGAAAGAAGGAACTGATGGGAGACTGTGACAGCTGAGTCCCTGGGCATGTGGGGGTGGGAAAGGGGTGTGTTGGGGGGGGCGGCATTTCCAGGGAAAGCCCAGAAGTCTGCAGCACCCACTCGAGAGGGGAGTGGGAGCCTGTGTCTTCGGCAGGGCGTGCACAGCCAAGAGCAAACAGAGACAGAGGCACGGGAGACACCAGCACCGGGTTTTAAAGAGCGTTAGGTAGCAGCTCTCTGTGGGGGCACGCTGTGCCCTGCCCCACCCCTCCCCCTTTCTCTCTCCTACGCTCCAAGGGCCCTTCTTCTATCTACAGCTCACTTCTACCTCTGTGACTTTCTAAATAAATGTTCTCTTATTAAAAATAAAAAATATTATAAAGATTACTACAAGATAATTGAGCATTTCAACTTCTGCTTGCTCTCTTCATACCTGCAGAGATGTGTTTGCTTATAAGTCTCAAAGACACGCCTTGGACCCAAACCGCCTGGGCCTGAATCTTGGCATCATCGCCAACCAGCTCTGGGATGTTGGGCAAATCCCTAATCTCTTCCTGTCCCTGACTCTTCAAAATGTCCCCCACATTTGCTTTATCATTCTGTGTGTCTACATACATGTATTTTTCTTCTGCTCCAATTGAGAATAAAGTGAAACATAACGCCCTTCACGCTGTAAGATTTCAGTATGCTTCCAGAGAACAAGGGCCTTCTCTCATATAACCACAGTTCAATGATCAAACCCAGGGATTTCACACCGATACAGCATTTTGTCTAGTGCACACAGGTAAAATTCTGTCTCAGTAATAACTTTTTTAATCCTCACCCGAGGATATTTTTTCCCATTGATTTCTAGAGAGAGTGGAAGGGAGGGAGGGCGGGAAGAGAGAGAAACATTGAGGGAAGAGAGACTCATCATTTGGTTGTCTCCCACATGTGCCCCAACTGGGGCTGGGGAACCTGCAACAAGGTACGTGCCCTTGACCTGGAATTGAACCCGAGAGCCATCGGTCTGTGGGCCGACGCTCCAACCACTGCGCCAAACTGTCCAGGGCTCAGGAATAATCTCTATAGGAAAAGAAGTGCTTTTGGCCCAGGATCGCCTACTGCGTTTACCTGTCACACGCATGTCTCCTCACAGCGGGCAGCTCCTCGGCCTGTCTTTGTCTTTCAAGTACTGACATTTTTGGAGCGACTGGCCAACTGAACCTTTCTTCTAACAGAAAGGATAATAATAGCCCTGCTTCTGAGAGCGGAGGGCGGGCGGCGGAGGCAATGCCGTGCTGACTGGGACCTGCAACCTCATGGAGTGAGGGGTTAGTCTTGTTACTATTAGGAGTCAACAGCTGTGTGACACAGGGCTCTTGCCCACAACGACAAGGAGACAGAGAGGTCAGGAGGGTGCTGGTGATGGTGGGATGAGGGTGCGGTGGGTACAGGGAGACCTGGCAGAGGGTGCCGGTGGGGAGTGAGCGGAGTTACCCGAAGGACGTGGGCTCTCCAGGCACAGGACCAGGGAGCACGCGTCCAGGGCGCCCAGGGAGTGGCAGTTAGGACATGATCAGCGGATCAGTGCTGCCGTGACTGCTGGGGTGTGGCTAGAAATGGTGACGAAGGAACCGGAAGGAGATGTCACTGCGTACCTGCCCACACCCGGCCCGGACCCTGAGACTCAGCGGCATCGTACCTGGTGGTCGGCTCAGAGGGGCTCCAACACTGGCCCCTGCTCTCTGCCCCACCTGCTCTTCGGATGCCCCGCCTGCCGCCCTCCAGGGGCCGCCCCCCGACATGCTCTTAGGAGAGGCGGCCACTGCCGACTTGCCTTCCTCCCGGCGCCTCTCCCCAGGGCTCCTGCTTGTGGGTCCACTGAGACAGGGCATCCTAGAGAGAAACATTGAGGGAAGAGAGACTCATCATTTGGTTGCCTCCCACATGTGCCCCAACTGGGGCTGGGGAACTTGCAACAAGGTACGTGCCCTTGACCTGGAATTGAACCCGAGAGCCATCGGTCTGTGGGCCGACGCTCCAACCACTGCGCCAAACTGTCCAGGGCTCAGGAATAATCTCTATAGGAAAAGAAGTGCTTTTGGCCCAGGATCGCCTACTGCGTTTACCTGTCACACGCATGTCTCCTCACAGCGGGCAGCTCCTCGGCCTGTCTTTGTCTTTCAAGTACTGACATTTTTGGAGCGACTGGCCAACTGAACCTTTCTTCTAACAGAAAGGATAATAATAGCCCTGCTTCTGAGAGCGGAGGGCGGGCGGCGGAGGCAATGCCGTGCTGACTGGGACCTGCAACCTCATGGAGTGAGGGGTTAGTCTTGTTACTATTAGGAGTCAACAGCTGTGTGACACAGGGCTCTTGCCCACAACGACAAGGAGACAGAGAGGTCAGGAGGGTGCTGGTGATGGTGGGATGAGGGTGCGGTGGGTACAGGGAGACCTGGCAGAGGGTGCCGGTGGGGAGTGAGCGGAGTTACCCGAAGGACGTGGGCTCTCCAGGCACAGGACCAGGGAGCACGCGTCCAGGGCGCCCAGGGAGTGGCAGTTAGGACATGATCAGCGGATCAGTGCTGCCGTGACTGCTGGGGTGTGGCTAGAAATGGTGACGAAGGAACCGGAAGGAGATGTCACTGCGTACCTGCCCACACCCGGCCCGGACCCTGAGACTCAGCGGCATCGTACCTGGTGGTCGGCTCAGAGGGGCTCCAACACTGGCCCCTGCTCTCTGCCCCACCTGCTCTTCGGATGCCCCGCCTGCCGCCCTCCAGGGGCCGCCCCCCGACATGCTCTTAGGAGAGGCGGCCACTGCCGACTTGCCTTCCTCCCGGCGCCTCTCCCCAGGGCTCCTGCTTGTGGGTCCACTGAGACAGGGCATCCTCGGCACACCCACGTTCCCACCAGATCCTCGCCCTTGGAAACCTTGCCAACACAAGTTCCTCCCCTGCTTCTCTCACTTCTCTAAGGGTGGGGATGTGCCAGAGGGCTGCTCAGCCACCTCCTCCGAACCCTCAGGGGTGGGCAGGGCAGCAGGGTCAGAGAGGACAGACCTTACAGAGCACTGCTCCCAGGAGGGCAAAGAGCAGGGGGTCTGAGTGAAACAACAGTGACCCTCTGGGTTCCCGTGACCTTTTAAAATCCCTTCAGCAGTAGAGGCTGTTAGATGTGTCACATAGTGCCTGGAGCCCACTACAATCAGAGCAGGAACCAAACACTTCAAACGCCTGTAAATAATCAATCACCAAAAATGAACTTGTCACCCAACTTCCCACCTGGGGTCAGAGGTG